CACCACATACAAACAAAGATGTTGTGTCCGCCGAAAACTAAAATAAATAAATAAATAAATATATATATACATATATTTTTTAAATACACATGGGGGCTGGGGTTGTGGCTCAATGGTACAGCACGCGCCTAGCATGCATGAGGCCCTGGGTTCGATCCTCAGCACCACATAAAAATAAATAAATTAATTAAAAGGTATTGTGTAAAACTAAAAATTCAATATTAAAAAAAAAGTACACATGGTAGCACACACCTATACTCCCAGCACTCAGGAGGATAGGTCAGAAGGATCGGATTACTTGAGCCCAGAATTTGGAGAACAATCTGGGCAACACAGTGAGCTGAGTCTCAAAAACAGAAAAAAATTAAATAACCAAGAAATTGTTTTCTCCAAAGGGAGGAGTCAGAGGTAGAAGGAAAACTTCTCATTGTGTGTTTTTTGGAAGGTTTTAAAGTTTGATCTATATAAATATATTACCTGTTCTAAATAAAATTTTTTAAAAAGGAGAAAAAAATTAAAATCTTTAAGGGAAGAATCAGAATGGTATTAAGAATTTGCACTGTCTCTCAAAGTTTATCAAAACTTAAAAGCCAGGAATGGTGGTGCATGCCTGTGATCCCAGCAGTTTGGGAAGCTGAGGCAAGCAGATGGTAAGTTCAAAGCTAGCCTCAACAACTTTGCAAGATCCTGTTTCAAAATAAAATTTAAAAAGGGCTGGGGATGTGGGTAAGTAGTTAAGCACCCCTAAGTTCAATCCCCAGTGCCAAAACAAAACACCCTTAAAAATATGTATAGTAGGGGCTGGGGGTGTGGCATGCGTGAGGCCCGGGTTGGATCCTCAGCACCACATAAAAACAAAGATGTTGTGTCAGCCGAAAATTAAAAAAAAATAAATATTAAAATTTAAAAAAAAATATGTATAGCCAGTGACTCCGCAAACCAACTTATAGGAATTCTATTCAAAAATATGAGCATGAGTATGCAAAGATATCCATTAAGTAGTCAAGGGTTCTAGAATGAATATTGTACTTGATAAAAATTCATCTCCCATGCAGAAAAACAGTTTAAGCACAGAATAAAATTACTATAAAAACTAAGGCAAGGGGCTGGGATTGTGGCTCAGCGGTAGAGTGCTGGTCTAGCATGTATGAGGCCCTGGGTTCAATCCTCAGAACCACATAAAATAAATAAATAAAGTAAAGGTATTGTGTCCAACTACTTCTAAAAAATAAATGTTTAAAAAAAAAACTAAGGCAATAGTTTCCAAGTTTATCATGAAGGACACCAATTTAACAATGAGTTATATACTCTATTACATTTATTAAGAAATATTTCAGTCAGGCACCATGACACATGCCTGGAATCCCAGCAGCCCAGGAAGCTAAGGCAATAGGATTACCAGCTCAAAGTCAACCTCAGCAATTTAGCAAGGCCCTAAGCAACTAATGAGACCCTATCACAAAATAAAAAATAAAAGGGACTGGGAATGTTTCCAGTGGTTAAGTACCTCTGGGTTCAATCCCTGGTACCAAAAAAAAAAGAAAAAAGAAAAAAAATTTTTCAGTGTTGGCATGGCAGTGCATGCTTATAATTCCAGGAGCTCAGGAGGCTGAGGCAGGAGGATGGTGTGTTCAAGATTAGCCTCAGAAATTTAGTGAGGCCTAAGCAACTTCACAAGACTCTGTCTCAAAATAAAAAAATAAAAAGGGCTGGAGATGTAGCTCAGTGGTAAAGTGCCCCTGGGTTCAATCCCTGGTACCAAAAAAGAAAAGAAATATTTCAAACTCATTATAGTGGCTCTTTCCTGTAATCTCAGTTACTCAAGAGGCTGAGGCAGGAGGACTTTTAGGCCTGCCTAGGCAACATAGAGAGACTCTGTCTCAAATAGATGAATGAATAAATTCATTTTCCCATTAAAAAAATTTGAGTGTCCTCAGGTTGGGGATGTGGCTCAAGTGGTAGCGTGCTCGCCTAGCATGCATGAGGCGCTGGGTTCGAATCTCAGCACCACAAGAAAATAAAATAAAGATGTTGTGTCCACTGAAAACTAAAAAATAAATATTAAAAAAAATTCTTAAAAAAAATGAGTGTTGGGCTGGGGATGTGGCTCAAGCGGTAGCG